GCCGGAACCAATCGAGAGGTATCTATAGGCCAGTTGTTTTGCGAAACGGAGATCGGCACCCGTCTAGCGAACAACTCGGCCTTTTTTCTTCCCGTCTGAAAATGTGAAAGCTGTTTGTCTGTAACGCTCGTTGTCACGTAATTTGAAAATCGCGCCTTTTTTGGGAGCATCTGAAAATTCAAGAGGTGCTCATGTCGTCCTGAAAAATTCACTGCGTTCTTTTTTCTTGTCGAAAGCTGGGAATTTAAGTAAAACAACAAAATCAGTGGATGTATAATATGTATTGGAGAATTTTTTGAAGAAATCCAATTGGAAAACTCTCTGAATTTGCTTCTGTGATTATGGAGTTGTTGGGGGAGTGTGTGTAACCATGTTTGGTATGGTATAACTGTCGCATTTTAGCATTTGGCGTCGAGCGTTTACGTGAAAGTGTACGTTCACTTGCGCGCCATTTGCTTTATTTCGAATATCTGTTGGTTTACGACATATTGTGAATGTCGATAAACTGTTCCGGAATACGGCAATTGTCACGAAATTGCATTCATGGAGAAATTCCTCAAGAGGAAACCGTTAACTCCTACATCAGGGAAAACCACCGAAAAACCAACGAGCAATCATTCCAACGAGCGCGAAGTATGTCCTCTCATTTACTTTTGTTTTTCAGGAATTGTTTGCGTACTTCTAACATTTTTTGATGAATTCATTGAGTATGGAAGGTTCTTGTACGTATACAATTCGATGCATATCAAGAGAGAAGAAATTTCCAGGAGTCTAATGTGAAAAATCGTCGTTCGGAATCGAATCTGTTGTGGACGAACGTCCGAGGTAACATTAACGCTGTTAACGCTTTATTTGATGTGGCTAAATTGTCGCATTTGAAGGTTGGTGGTTTTGAAGCCTTCGTAATCAATACCACATTCTGTTTGCTGCGATTGAAATGTCATAGATTCAGTCCAAGAAATATATTGGGAGATATGTTGGGGATATGTTGTTTGAAATTTGGTGTTTCACTGCAAATTCGGTGATAATTGAGTGATATTCATTCAGTTGTTCAATTCAAAGTTTGCTATTGAGAAGATGTAGTTTTTGATAGTTAGTTAACGGAACATCGTTTTTCTTTCAATATTTTTAACTTTACATCTGCAGATATGTTCTTGTTTAAGGGTGAAGTGCAACAAATTGAATTTTCTGAACCGCTTTTGTCCGGAGATTACCGTTTGCTACAAGTGGATCCCGAACTAGCCGATCAGATTGAGAAAGGTTCAAGGTTTGTCCACCGTTGAATTGATTTCATCAATTGCTTCTTTTGAATTTCGTCAAACAATCTCATTTTTCCTTAATTTTAGTTATAATATTTTCATTGCTATCGTTGTTGTTGCTTGCAACATTGTTTCATTGATATTTTCATTTCTAGTTTGACATTCCGTGGTGAGTTGGATGACTATCCTGTGCTATGTACGAAGGATGCGACGTACTGTGTGAAGGAGGCCGAAACGTCGAATACACTCTTGGTTTTACCTCAGTTGGATTTTACCAATGATAAGGGTGATGAAAGCGAGCGAGTTCTGGCAACGCGTAAGGTGATCGCGATGCAGTCCAGATATCTGGAATTGAAGAAGGTCAATGTGGTATCGTCGAGTCGTCTTAGAGAGTTGTTGCGAGAAAATGAATTGCAGTGGGACGCAGACGAACAAGCTGACGAGAACATGGAACAGAATGCAAAATTGTATGCTTTCGTTCATCATTTTGTTCCAAACAGTGTTATTTCAACAGTAGTATAATTTTGTAACTAACAATAAGTTTAGTTCTTTTATGATTTCAATCAGTGTTTTGTTCAGATATACATTTGATGACCTGTTGGATGTTGTGCAAATGAGTGAAGTGCAGTTGAGGCAAGCTCTACAGCATTTGCCTGTTATTCAACAAAATGGTATGATTTTATGGAATTGACTTTTGTTTCGTTTTCAAAATTTGATATGCCTCACGAATCAGCATTGCTTATTGTTATTACCATTGTTGTTATTTTCAGAAACACGATAAATGCGACATCAAGAAATTGAATGCATTCTCATATTTATACTCAAATCATAATAATCCTATCATCTAGTCAACTTTTCCAAATCCCAGCTATTTATTCGACAAATATTGTATTCTACTTATCGGCTGTTGAAGGTTATTACCGAATGTTGTC